TCCTCCTTGATTCTGTATAACCGACTTGTGTATATATTGGCTATCAGCCATTTCATTAAATATAACAACATATTCAAATCCTCTTAGTTTTCTATATGGTATCAGAGCCTGGTTGGTGGATAGTGGCGCTTCTCAACACATGACAGGAAACCTCCATTTAATCTCCAATGTTACATCTATTCCACCCACTACAATAGGTTTACCTGATGGTGATCAACTTGTTTCCAATCACAGTGGCAGTCTCAAGTTGACATCTCATATTTCTCTTCAGAATGTGTTATATGTTCCCAAATTACAATGCAACCTCATATCAGTTGCTCAATTACTTGCTGATACAAATTGCATCATTTCTTTTACTCACAATGGCTGTGAATTGCAGGACCCCATAACGAGGATCAAGACTGGACTGGGTAGATTGCAAGCTGGTGTTTATGTGCATGACTCATCCAACAACAAATCCATCTCTACTGCATGTGCGGCTCACACTCAACAGAATGCAGATGTTTGGCACCGTCGATTGGGTCACCCTTCATTTCAGTTTTTAAGCCTTCTTCCTTTTGTTACAGTGAATAAAAATAGGGGTCATTCTCCTTCAGTTTGTGACATTTGCCTACGCGCACAACAAACTCGTACTGTATTCCCTATTAGCATTAATAAAACTACTGCATGCTTTGATCTTATTCATTGCGATATCTGGGGTCCATATCAAACTACCTCTCTAACCGGTGCAAGATATTTTTTAACAATTGTGGATGATTATAGCAGAAACGTCTGGGTTTATTTAATGACCACCAAGTCTGAAACGTTCCAATACTTAACTCGATTTCTTCTCATGGTACGTAATCAGTTTAATACCATGGTCAAAATAATACGCTCCGACAATGGATCAGAATTTTGTGCTCATAATCTCCGCAAGGTTTATTCCGATATGGGAATTATACATCAAACATCATGTGTAGACACACCACAGCAGAATGGTCGTGTTGAACGGAAACATAGACATATTTTGAATGTTGCAAGAGCATTACGCTTTCAAGCTAGTCTTCCTATCGAGTTTTGGGGTGAATGTGTTCTAACTGCGGTACATTTAATCAATAGAACCCCCACTCCTCTTCTCCAAGGAAAAACACCATATGAATGTCTTTTCAACCGCACACCCAGCTATGATCATATTCGCATATTCGGATGTCTTTGCCATGCTCATCCACGTCCCAAACCGTTGGACAAGTTTGCAGCTCGATCAACTCGGTGTCTGTTCCTGGGATATCCTTTTGGCAAAAAGGGTTGGAGGCTTTATAACCTTGAAACACATACTGTTTTTGTATCCAAAGACGTGGTATTTGAAGAGAACACCTTTCCTTTTGCACCAACCACAGTCATTCCTACCACTGATATTCCTCACGACCCAAACCCCCATAACCCCATATCACCCGAACCAACCCTTGCTCCACAAAGCCCATCCTTTGATTCCCAATTTGTTACCAACCATGTCCCTTTAATTGAAGACACTCTCCCTGTTGAACAGGCTCAGCCCGAATCTGCCCCTACTGTCTCCAATGAGCTTTCTATCCGACAAGAACAGCCCCCAGAAGTCACACATCCATCTGCACCTTTGGGACGTGGTCACCGTTCTCGCTGTCCTCCATCATATCTCCAAGATTTCGAATGCTCCAAAGTCATCGCACATAATCCACTAGCTTCTTCTACTTCTTCCAGTCCTTCCTCAGGTATGGCTTATCCTATTGCTAACTTTGTTTCTTGTTCTAGATTCTCTCCCAAACATCAACAATTCCTTGCTGCCATTTCTTCTGGTGTTGAACCAAAAACATTCAAGGATGTTGTAACTGATGAAAGGTGGCGTGTAGCAATGAGAAAAGAAATAGATGCCCTTGAACAAAATCACACGTGGGAACTCACTTCTTTGCCACCAGGAAAACGTGCCATTCCATGCAAGTGGGTATACCGCATTAAGTACAACTCAAATGGTACAGTGGAGAGATTCAAAGCACGGTTGGTCATTGCCGGTAACAATCAAATAGCTGGAGAAGAATACTTCGATACATATGCTCCTGTAGCCAAAATGGTGAGTGTCTGAACACTTCTTGCGGTAGCTGCTGCCAAATCATGGCACCTATACCAGTTGGATGTTACGAATGCCTTTCTACACGGAGACCTTACCGAAGAAGTTTACATGCGCGTTCCACAAGGTTTCAATCATCACAAACCACATCAAGTATGTCGCTTACGTAAATCTCTCTACGGTTTGCGGCAATCCCCTCGCAATTGGTTTGCTAAGTTGCGGTCCTCCATTGAATCATATGGCTTCATCCAATCCAAGGCAGATTACACCCTATTCACCTTACACAAAGATGGCCACTTTGTTGCTCTTCTCATCTACGTTGATGACATTATTCTAACGGGCGACAATGATGCCTTATGCACCGATGTCAAGGTCTTTCTCCAGTCATGCTTTCACATCAAGGATTTGGGGATTCTTAAATATTTTCTTGGCATCGAAATAGCTCACGGTCCATCAGGTCTTTTTCTGAGCCAACGAAAGTACGCTCTCGACATATTGGAAGACGCTGGTCTCCTTGCGTGCAAACCATGTGCCTTCCCTCTCGAAACAAATCATAAGCTTGCAGTTACAGAAAGTCCTCCATTCTCGGATCCCGCACGTTACAGAAGACTCATAGGACGTTTGATTTACTTGACAATTACTAGACCTGAGTTAAGTTACTCCGTCCATGTTCTTTCCCAGTTCATGCAAAATCCTACTATTGCTCAATATGATGCTGTCATCCGCGTTTTAAGGTACATCAAAACTGATCCTGGCCAAGGTTTACTCCTTCGATCCGACAATGATCTCCTTCTTCATGGATATTCTGATTCGGATTGGGCTAGCTGTCCACTCACCCGTCGATCAGTTACTGGTTATTTTATCATGTTGGGTACTTCTCCTATCTCTTGGAAAACAAAGAAGCAACCCACAGTGTCTCGCTCCTCCGCTGAAGCTGAGTATCGTTCAATGGCAGCAGCTACAGCTGAGTTGTTATGGATCAAATCGTTTCTGGACTCGCTTGATGTTCCACATTCACACCCTATGCAGTTGCACTGTGATAACCAATCTGCCATGCAAATAGCTGCTAATCCAGTTTTCCACGAACGTACCAAACATATAGAGATTGATTGTCATTTTGTACGCGATCATGTTCTCAGCAATACAATCACTACTACCTACGTTCGTACAGATCAGCAACTCGCAGACATATTTACCAAACCGCGTGGCATGAAGCAATTCAGTTTTCTTCGCAGCAAGTTGGGCATTTCGTCACTTCATGCTCCAACTTGAGGGGGCGTGTTAGGAGAAGATCACCTTTGATCTTATCCTTTAGCAACTAAGTCCTAGTTTTTAGCAAGAATAGTTTGTTATTATTCCATGTATAGTTTGTTGAACAGTATACTTTATTCTAGTTGATCCTCCTTGATTCTGTATAACCGACTTGTGTATATATTGGCCTCTTAGTTTTCTATAGTGTGGTTTGATTTAGAATCATTTATGTTCCTGTGGATTTTTATATTATATATATTCATGTGCTTTATAAAAAATAAAAAAATCACAGGGGCATATGTGATGAAACAAATCACAAGAGCATTTGTGAACTTTTCCCTTGTTATTGTAAATGACATAAAAAATTATGTCATTTTAAGAAAGAGATAGATACAAAATAATATTCTTTTATTTAAAATTTAATTAAAAAAACCACCCACTTTCACTCACATAATTTTCATTCTTTGTATCTATTTCTTTTCTAAAATGATATAACTTATGTTATTTAAAATGAAAAGGATCAAATCCATAAATTATCAATTATTTGGTAGAAATAGTGGGAATGATGTTAAAATTTTAATAATAATAGGTTTTTCTAAGGAAAGCGAATCCTTCCCAAACTACTACAATAAATTTGTACATGTGACATTTGTCAATAGTGAAATCCTTGGACCTTACAAATATGTGTATTTCTAAATAAGTACCTGCATTAACAATATTTCATATTTTTTGTAAATTGTGAGTTGATATTTTTTTTTGGGTGAACTTGATTTTGTTCTTTAAATAAGACATGAACTGTTTTTTTTTTAAATATTCTTATACGATAATATCATTATTTATGAAATTGAAAACAATTATTGCCAACGTATCTTTTGATAATTATATAATGAAATTACTTTACTAAAAAATATTAAGCGACATTATTAAATAAAACATATGCTCCAAATATTAACATATTTATCTAAACTAAATTATTAAATCAATTAATGATAGCTTTTATTTTGAATAAAGATTTTACATCTTGCTTCCAAAAAAAAAAAAAAAAAAAAGATTTTACATCTTGAGCATTAAATTTAACTCATTTTTTTATTAAAAAAAGTTAAAAATGTTAGTATCAATTTGTGAACACCTCAAGTAATTCACCTCTTATGTAAGGCATATACAATTTTGATACAAAATTGGAGAACAAAAATGAAGAAGGTACGAAAGTTGTTAAAAGTAAAGAAGTCAAGACTTGGAATAAGCGATTGGGAAACGTGGGTGATGCGAAAGTGATGCAGAGTCATAAGTCCAGGTTGGATCAAAGATATTTTCTTTGTTTCATATTTATGACCCTTTAACTTTGTATTTGAATCCAAAACCACAACACAACATTAAATATGAGTCATGATGATAGTGTTGTAAAACACACATCACAAGTGCGTTATGCTGACGTTCATATATATCATAGTAATAATAACGAAAGAACAAAGAACCTTAATCTCAAGCAAACTCTCCATCCGATGTGGTGGTCTTATTTGGCAGCCAACACAACACATACATACGTTTTGAGTTTGACAAAGTGAAACTCTACCTCTCTCTCTCTCTCTCTCTCTCCTCCATCTTCCTATATATACTTTAAAGCATCTTTGTCTTGCTCCTCACATTTCCACCAATCTACAATTTTTCTTTCTTCATTTGTTTCTTAAAATGCCAGACCAAGAGATTTGCAGTTACCTTAATGAACCTCGTCTTGTAGCAAGGAAGTTCCTGGCCAAACCTCAACGTGAAGGTGTTGGGGCTGTTGTTAGAAGAAGCATAGGACGGTGAGACACAAATGACACATTTTTTTTTTTTTTTTTTAAACTTTATATATATATATTGCATTTGAAGTTTTGGAACCCATTTCAAAAATTTAGCTTTTTGAATTGACTGGTTATCTGGGTTTGATCAGATTTGAGCTCAAGTACTTTGATCCTTTCCTTGTATTGGATGAATTCTCAGGTGGGCTTATCTCTCTGTTTTATTTTTCTAACTTGGATAAGAAGAGAGGTTCAATCTTGTTCTGTTTTCTAAGAATGTGAAATTCTGAAAATTATTGCAGTCACTGCTCCTGCTGGATTTCCTGATCATCCACATAGAGGTTTGCCAATTGGTCTATATATGTTTCATTTACGTTTTCTCTTCATTTGCTGAGTTTCTGACTCCTTGCTCCTTCTTTGTGGTGTTTTTTGTTAACAGGCTTTGAGACAGTCACATACATGTTGCAGGTAGATCAAGTTTATTCTTTCACTTCATTGGCTTCCTCCCTTGTTCATTGATTGCTAAACTGTTTGCACACATTTAAGAAAACCTTTTTATTAGTTATTTCATTTTTCGTTGCAATCCTTTTAAGTCAATGGTTTAACCAAATGAAAATATTGTTTCTCGTGTTACACGAGACAATTTATCAATTCTCTCTTGTAAAAGTGCACGTCTACCCACTTATTTTCTTTCTCTCTTTTCTTTTTAGTGAGTTCTATTAACTTTTTTGTACGTTGCATGATAATTGAGAAACAATATTCCCATAATATGATGAACATAATTTCAAAATGAAAAGTAAAAGTAAACCAAAATTTGGTTTTCTGATTTTAAGATTTCATTCTATATTAGCTCAAAGTTTATTAGTTCGGCTAAATATCTGCTCAATATGATGTTAATCTGTGCACTAGTGGGGTGGCAACGTGTAAGTCACAAATTAATGATTTGTTACTAAACCAGCAATTTGGATTAATGCCACCAAAACAAAACCATCAATGACTCTCCCGATTGCCAAAGGTAGTGGTTATGAGCAGAAAGACAGAAGTGACCCCACATGTTGGTTGTCTTGTTTATTTTTCTAGAATGCCAACTACCAGCTTGAGTGTACCTAAAGTTGTGTACGTGCAATATTGGTCACATATGCTTATGTCGTTGTGCTTACCTCACTTGTGTGTAATTATTTGTGCTATTCAGGGAGCTCTCACTCATGAAGATTTTGAAGGACATAAGGGAACAATAGAAGCAGGTGATTTGCAGTGGATGACTGCAGGGAGAGGAATAGTTCACTCCGAAATGCCTGCTTCTCAAGGGACACAAAAGGGTCTGCAGCTATGGATCAACCTCTCTTCCGAACATAAAATGTAAGGGCACAATACCTTTTCATAAATCAACAACATCAACAACACCTTTATCCCAAATTAATTGGGGTCGGTGGTAGATGAACCCACATGAAAGATACAAAACGGTTGAAAAAAAGTTAAAAAAAAAATAAAAAAAAAATAAAAAAACAATAAAAAGTAAAAAAGTAAAAAAGCCAAAAATAAATAAATAAAAATAAACAAATAAAATAAAAATATAAAATAAGATAAAATAAAATAACAATATATGTATATATAAATAAATAAAAGTAAAAAAGAAAGGGACAAGAAGAAGTGGGGGAAATGAAGGGGAAAAGGACTAAAAAGGGACCATCTGGAACATAGGAATAACAGCGGGTCTAACCCTCCACCATACTTATAGCTTTTCTCCATTCCGTTCTAAGACATATTGTCCGCCAATCTATATCCCACTCCATTAAATCTTGTTTTACTACTTTCCTCCAAGTAAGCTTCGGTCTACCTCTGCCTCTTTTAATATATGAAAAAATGCTCCAAATAAGATTAACCAATAGGGAGTTATTTTTTGATGACATACTCAAATGACAACCTTAGCGATGGGCCATGGCCCCATATGATTAGATGACATAATTTTTGCGTCATTGAAGATCATCATTATTTATTTGGAGAATCGTTTTGGATAATGCTCTCCACCAAGCATCCATGAGACAAAAAGGAACTCCACTCTTTACAAATAAAAAGTTAAATCTACTTTAAACTTTCTGAGTTGATATATATATGCTTCCCGCACTTTCGCATGCAACTTTATCTCATGATTTTCCATCATGTACCATTTCCTAGAAGTGCTTCTGAATAGAGCACCAAATGATTCAAGTGTGCAGAAGGGCCTGAAATGGCCAACATAGATAATGTGCCTCTCACCCATATATCACTATTTTGCCGCTGCTAGTTTCAAAATTTGTCTGGTTTTTGGGTGCCCCATTATAAATTAAGTCAACTTCTTCGCTAGTGTCTTGTTGGTAGTACTTGTTATCCTCAAAAGAAATTATTGGTACAAGACTTTCTTGATTTGGAAGCTAGACCTTGGTTTAATCTTCCTTTTGTAATGTTATCTTAGGATTGAACCGAAGTATCAAGAAATGTTGAGCAAGGACATAGCAGAAGCTACGAAAGATGGCATCAAAGTAAGAGTTATAGCAGGGGAAGCACTTGGGATAAAGTCTCCAATCTACACAAGGACCCCAACCATGTATTTGGACTTTTCTCTTAAACCTGGGGCTCACTTACAACAACCTATACCAAAATCTTGGAATGCTTTTGTGTATATTTTGGAAGGAGAGGGTGTCTTTGGAAATCAAAGATCTCAGCCTGCAACCTCTCACCATATTCTTCTTCTTGGTTCTGGGGATGGCCTAGAAGCATGGAATAAATCTTCTAAGCTCCTTAGGTTCATTTTGGTTGGAGGTGAACCATTGGGTGAACCTGTGGTGCAATTTGGACCCTTTGTTATGAATACTCAAGAAGAGATTGACCAAACCATTGATGATTTTGAGAACAATGCCAATGGATTTGAAAAAGCAAGACAATGGAAGTCTGAAAGTGCAGTTAGTCTTGATTTTTAATTTTATTTAATTGGTTGATTTGAAAAGAAAGGGAGGAAAAATAAATATTTAAATTCCTTGTGAGTTGTAACGTAAATTGGAAATTATGAATTAGACGAAGAATTTCTATCCTTTTTACTTTTTCATCATGTGAATATCATTTGTACGCGTAAATTGAAATCATTGTTAACAAACAAAATTTTATTCTATAAATTAATATTTAGTACTTAATAGTCTACTTAATCAAATAAGTGTGACTCAATACAAACTTGTGAAATTAATTTGATAATCATTCTCACTTGTTTATAATTTCCCTACCATACTATCATATGATTTCAGGGCTAAGTTCACATGCAAAAACTGACAACACTTATCACTTGATTGTGTGACGAAGAATTTATGACATGAGGAGAGAGAGAGACAAAAGCTTAGGACGCACCACCAGCTCCCTCGCTCTTCTTCCTCTGGAACTTCATATAGAAATCGACCTCTTTGCCTTCTGATATGTATGTGTCATAAATTCGCTGCATACAAGACAATATAATTGCTACGAAGAGGGAGCCATGGCCCCCACATATTTTTTAATTTAAATATTTTTCTAAGAGAAAATTTATACTTACTATACCATTTTAACCTTACTACTCTTACTATTTAATTAGTTACCGTTTGAAATCAAAGACAATTAATTTTTTATTTTATTTTTTAACCGTTGATTTCAAATTAATCTAATAGTAACCAATGAAGTAGTAAGAATATTAAACCTAAAATGGAACTAAGTTTTCTAATTGATTTTCTAAACAATCTTATTCTCGTACATACACACATACATATGGGTGCCCTATTTTTTAAGGGGGTTAATAAATTTAACCAGTTATAACATCTTATATTTTGGTCTCATTATTATTATTACTTTTAAATTTCTCTTTCAATTCATTTTTAATTAATTCAGTTGAATTGGACAAATTTATAAGGACGACAAAACTCTTCCTGCTAAATTTTTAACCTAACTACGTATCCCAAACTCGAACTCAATACTATTGATTAAACTGAAACAACTTCATAACAATTGATCCACGTGCTTGGCAATAATATTATTTTAATTCTAGCTGTCTTTGTTCATATTAACTTGGTAGTGAGAATCCGCACATATCACATGCATATATGGAAAAATGGAATACATATATGAGATACTTAGCTAAGAATAGTATAATTACACGTCTATTTGACAAAATTAGCAGAAAACGTGAAACATGAATCAGTGAATTAACCGTATAACTTGTTAAAAGTTCCATAAATTAATATGAGTTCGTGGACAATAGCCTTATATTAATTTATTAAATAACTAAACTTTTAGCACATAGTGATGACAAGCATCTCGTCTGATTTCATGACTCCTTTAACTTCAGAACACTGCTAAATACTGCCAAAATTACTACTGACTTAATGATCTATTGACGGCACACCACAAAATCTGACAAACTTGGATGTAAAAATTTCCGAAAATGATACCATGTTATCAAGCTTAGAGAAGTATTCATTCATTTTTAGATGTTATACAGAAGCACCATATAACTAGACAAGATTAAATATTGTTAAAGAAGTTTCATAACCTTTCAGAATGAATATGTCTTTGAGAGACGGGGGGAGGAGAGGGCGCATCCAACAAGAAGAATGTATGATTGTTTGTGACCAGGAAATTATATAATAAAGGCCCAATATCCTCTCCATCGAAAACTCTAATGAAACCACCCAGCTAAACTTCAATTGTTTCGAATACTTTTTCAACTTCTGCAATGGTGTTTCGAGCTTCCTCAATTTCAGGACCGGCCTTCTCATCTGATTCCTCCAACTCAGCCTGAAAGCGGAAAAAAAAAAATCCCACATAAAATTTAATCTACAGATCCAATTTCAAGAAACTGCATAGATTGAACTTGTTATTATCATGTTTTTTTAAATCAGAGAAAATATCTCAATATAGGTATAGACCAAAACATAAGGGGATAAAAAGCAAAGTTTGTTTTTTTTTTTTTTTTTTTTTTTGTAAAAATGAAAATTAATTGTTTATTTTAAAGAGCCAGCTTCAGATACGCACAAATGGGGTCATAAACATGAGACCCAAATACAAAACATTTAACATATTACAGAAAAATATATAAATTCTCTTCATTTGTCATTTTCCTCTTCTTTCCCCCCTTTTGGACAAAGATCTTAGGTATCAAATATTTTAGCATCTCTACTTTTCACATTAGGATTATAAATATATGAAGAAGGGGAAGTGAAATATGAAGAGTTGCAGGAATCAAATTGAGAAAATGTAGCATGGATTGGCTCGAAACATCCACCTGGTCCCAGGGCAGAGTAATAGTGAAAGACACTTAAGTTTGTCCTAAACCTTGAACTAGCAGGGTCAGGAGGAGGATAAGTAATCTAACTAACCATATTCCTACCCCAATATCTTGCTTATAATACATAAGATCATTAACAGGTACAATCCTCCATTGGAACAATTAAGAGTTAAGACCCTAGAGTCAGCTAACTGATTAATTGATAAAGCCAAGGCATAATGCTGAGCATGTCAAAGTGATTAAAAATGTTCATGACATGAGAAAACAGCAGAAAACTGAGATATACAGTACCAATGCTCCTTTCAAGTCAGCCAAAGAAGCCTCTAGGCGCTTGCGGCAGTCAGGAATCATCATCCTAGACTCAGCCAGCACATTTTCCTGTCCAAATCAGGTCAGCAAAATAAATCTATTATTATTATTTTTTTAAACAGAGAAAAGGTAGTGTGATATCCCGAATTAAGCAATGCAATTGCAGAGGCACAGATAGCCCTATTAAAATAATTTCAAGATCCATCTTTACATGTTTGGATTAGATCAATAAAAAATCCCTTTTTGTTTTCTCAGTCAGATTCTAATTATAAGCTAATCCAAACAAACACATTAAGGATTTCAATCTAGTAAGCACATACCTGCTGCTTGAGATCATAAGGGTCAGCTCCTTTGTCCTTCATGTCAGCTGTTTTGGCAGCTTCTCTCTCAACTTCCTTCTCATAAGAATGCAGCTCCTTCACAATGCGTTTGCACGTACTCGTCTTGATCTTCAGGTTTCTCAGAGTAGCCATTGAATACCTATACCCACCCAAAAAACATCCAACCAAAAAAATAAGGGAATTATTCATGTAAAATTTGCTTCCAAATCAAAAATAAAAATAAAAAATAAAAAAAAATTCACAATACAAAGGCACGATGCTTTCCAGTATTATAAGGTTATTATTATAATCTCTTTCTCAACGCTCGGAATGAAAATTGTAAGCTGCATTTCCCCAATCCCAAAGAAGCAAATAAAAAATCATTGAAAAGAGAAATATCAAAAACTAAAAGATATTCACTCCAATACTTCACTATGTCTAAAAAATTTAGGATTATATAAAGAAAGAGAAAAACGGCGGCGATGATGTAAAATTTCACCAGCTGCTTCTGTGATTTTGCAGGCTGCTTGCGGTGCCCTAGCGCAGATCCACGAGGAAGAAGACGATGAAGATTGAAGAGGACCTTGCTCTCAATAAAACGCACAGTTCAGTCTTTTTTTTTATTTTATTTTTGAATTTAGTGTTTTTTATTTTTTCTTAGTTTTCAAAATTGCTTGCGGTGCTGATATGGAAGCCCAACGCCCATATGCTCTTGAAGTAAAAATTATCTAATGCAATTCATTTGGTTCGAGCATTTAATCATTCATTCATTTAGTTTGAATTTTTTTAAAAATTTGATTTAATTCAAACCAATTTTATTCAATTTAGATTGTATCAATTTTTTATTTTTCAAAAATCCTAATATCTTAACCCTAAAAATCATTAGCTATATCAAAATAAAGTCATATAAAATTATAAATTATTAAAAAATTCAAGTCTTCAAATTTAAACAAATCTTAAACTCGTAAAGATTGCAAGTCACCATCTTTCAAAAATAATAAATGCATAATATATTGGATCAGTTTGGATTTGATCAGTTTTCACTAACTAAATTGAAAATTGATCAAATCCAGTTAAAATATGTCACTGCGATTTGAATTGATTTAGATAAATTAATTAACACCCCTATTTTATAGGCAGGCTGGAAGCACCAGTCCTTCACTTTTTTTGGGTGTCCATTTTTGAACGATTGCTTAAATGATTTTTCATTTAAATAAATTGGGCATAAACAGTTGGCATAAATTGTATGAGTTTTTTTTTTTTTTTTTATAACAAATTTGTATGAGTTTTAATAGAAAAAATAATTAAGTACTATACTAGTGTATGTTAAAGTTACAGTTTAGCTCGGATACGTAATTCTTATATAAATTAATTAGAATCAAAAGAACTCAATGTTAACCCACAATTTGACTCATTTAAGTAATTAACTATTCACAATAAATCCAACCAAGGCTGTTCTTTTTTATATTGGAAAGTTTATTTTATTTTAATTCAATTCTAATACTTTAAAATGTCTTAAAATAATATGACAGAAGCAAATTCAAATAATTCGCACATGATGTCACCTTCATTATATCATTTCAATATTCACTTATAAATTTGATGCTAATAACGGTGAGGCATTGCTACAACAGGACAGAAAACTCAAGTAGCGTGTACCTTAGACAAGCCAGAAGTTTATAGGTAGACACAGTTGAGAGGGAGAATTTACATAAGAATCAAGATAAGTGGTTATTTAATTTCAGCGTAGCAATTCTGTTGAATTGAAGTAGTTGATAATTAGATTTCATATTCAATAAATATGTAACTTTTCAAGCGTATGAACGGGTTGAATTCATACCATGTTTGATAGTAAAGTGCTGTCGTCAGTATAAATATAATCAAAAGTCTTATGCCACATAGGAACACCCATTCCTTGAATGCTCTTGGAGTATACTTATAACCAAGATCAGAACCAGAGTACGGTATAAATGAATTGCAAATGGTGAAAAGTACTGGGGTCAGCAGAAACTTTCCGCAATGCAGGTATAAGAACCGGGATTTAATTTCAATTTAAAATGTTTATATATGAAGAACCGGTTCAAAGAGTAAGGTTAAATGTTTGGTTAATAATTATGCAGGGTTTGGCTTTCAAACTGAAATCGCTGCCACTTCATACTAATGTGTTTCAGATAGTAAGTGCATGAATCAAGCTCAATCAATCATCATTCAATAGGCCTCCGAAGTTCCAACAAACCACCAAGAAAGAGCACGATAGAACCAAGATGCCATATTGGAACTCGGTAACATGTAAACAATCTATGCCCTTCAACAATGCGTAGTCACCCTCAAGTTCCTCAAAAAGAAATGTAGACAAAGGATACAAGAACCTAAATAAAAGCAAAGATGGGTGCATATTATATCTACATGATGCTTGAAAATCATGATACCCTGATTCCTTATTGAGATGTGGGATAAGTTCCCTTGTTGCGCTTTTTCAAAGACTCGTAGAAAATGGAGAAGGCTTCTTTCATTTCACCTGGAAGAGGGAGTTGAAGGGGGAGTGCCATGGGGGGACGTGAGTTGTGTTGCAGAGTGGTTTTCCAGGACAAAGGAAGTGCAAGAGCGGGTTGCTGCTTGTTTAGCCCTTCTATGATAAAAGAAAATGCCCCAAAAGTGAGGCAGCTCTGCAGAAGAGCTTGTGGTGCACCTGGAGAATCCTAGAATATAAGTCATAATAACAAAACAAGTACAGAATATGAAATTTAAAATGGATTTAGCAAAACAATGTATTGAATTTTAACAACATTGATTAGAAGGCATGCTGAATCAGCAAAGTTTTTTCCCCCTTTTCCTTTCTGGGTGGGGTTTTTACCTCACTCACCAATTAGGGACAAAATTACCACAGTATTTAGCGCATATGATTATGTTTTTTTAAGAGATAACAAAAATGAAATATATAAATGTATATTTGACAAGCCCTTTATCGTTCTTTCTTATTTCCAATAAGGGGGAACAAGCTTCAAATAAAGGGAAAATTCATCAATTTATTCAAAAAAAAAAAGCAATACCTGGAAAACTTAGAGCAAGACCCGTGCAACATCCAGCTACCCCCGCATTAATGACTGCAGACGTCAAAGTATTCACATTATCGGTGGAAGAACACTAAAAAGCAAAAGTACCATCTTATAGTTGAAAATTTAATACCATCATCCTTTCCTCGAAGTCTTTTCAAGATGCAAACAACCAAACTATGAACTCCAGACAAAACTGCAAATGTCTAATGAGGTAAAGAAAACCGATTACATACTAGCTACTAAATTAAAAAAAATAAAAAACATACTATACAAATATGAACCGAGTAGACAACATAAAGCAGCCAGCAAAAAAGCCACCGAGATTCCCGATGTACCTTTGCATAAGACCCTGCTTCTACAAAGGATCCTTTAAATCCTTTCTTTTTAAACAATCCAGCACCTGAAACATACACATTACAAGCCTTGCTTAATAAAAATAAAAACAAAATCCACTGAAAATTAACTATTAAGCTATCAAAAGTGACAATTATCAAGGATAACCTTCTGCCAATATAACCAATCAGTCAGAAAAAGGGAATTTCCTTGTTCTCAATTACACTAAACCAAGCAGGTTTTTCCATGTCATTGCCCAAACAAACATGTCATTGCTAAAACAAAACAACAGACAATTCAAAACCAGAAGAAGAAGAAGCATTTTCACTTCTCCGATTCCATTTGTCATAAGAATAAAAACCATATAATCAAGGATTAAGTGAGTGTATCCATTATCCACAACACAAGCTCACACACAAACTCTCAACAGAAACACCAAATCTTTGATTTAAAAAAGTTAGGTTTAATTAACGGTAATCAGTAAAGTTTACAAATGGAGATGTTACAATATAACAGAAGTGCGTAAAAGTGAAGAGAAGGACCATATCCAAAGACGGAGCCCATGAAAGCACCACCGGCGGAGTCGCCGGCGAAACGGAGTAGGCAAACGACAGGAGCAGCGGGGACAAGTGAGTCCGAAGAAGGATTGGAAACAGAGTCAGCATCTTGAGGCTGAGGCTGAGGCTGAGGCTGAGGCTCGGTGATATCGTCGGAATCCACTGCCGCCATAGATGTGCTGTGAGGAGGTGTCTCTTCGTCTTCGGTTTATTCTCCTCCGAAGTCCGAATGAACTTTGTCCGTACCTGTAGCTCACATGTTATCCCTTTCACATTTACCAAATGACGTCGTTTTGTGGCTTGCCTCTTGTCACCGATTTTATTTTATTTTTATTTTTTTTTTAATGAAGATATTGCAATTGGTTCGACTTTGCAACTAGTCTGATTTTCGAGATTAAAATTTTAAAACTTTTACAAAGATAATACTGAAAGGATTACGTGCTTTCACCCTGATTGTTTAGCCAATTAAATTATGGGAATTTTTTTTTACGTGGTTGGAGATAAGTTATTAGTGAAACAAAATTATAAGAAAGATCACAAATAATTAGAGATAGAAAATTATAAGATAAATTATCTCATGTTGAATGAGATAAATATAATCTTTAAACTATTATTATTTGGTCGATTTTACTCTTTTACCCGTAACGACGCTCACTTCCCACTTCCAGCCCAACTTAAATAATGGGCTTCTGCATGTTGGCTGGGGATCCAGCTACATTATATTTTGTTTTGAAAAAAAAAAAGGAATGAAAATGTTTATATTAAAGATTTTTTTTCTTGTCACCAAAAACAATTTTTTTTTTCTTACATTAAGGAATTACTTTTTTTCTTAATGACAAGCGAAAAATAGATGTGTTTAAAGATTGAAAATGTTTAAATTAAAGATTTTTTTCTTGTCACCAAAAACACAAAAAAGAAAATTTTCTTACATTAAGAAATTACTTTTTTTCTTTCAAATCTATTTTGTACCATTTTTCTTATAATCTTTTTCATCTTATTTTTCACTGTAGGAGCATTTTTTATTGATTCGTCCATTAATTTTATTAAAATAAAATATCAAAATTTAAGATGTCTAACCGTGTGTGTATGAGAAGTTACTATGTTCATTGTGTTGTATCCAGCCTAAAAATTATTTTCTCAAATGATACATCAAAATCATTCTGTAGCTTCCACACTTACCAGAAAAATTCAAGGAGTAAAGAACAAATCATTCGATGCTATATTATTATCAGCTCTAGCAGACAAAACAATTGAAGTTCCATAAATCAAGTTTTCACACAGCATAAAAAATACAATGAATATTTTTAGCACAAAAGAATGTATATGAATACTTTTTGACCCGAGTAGGATCTGGTGCTAGACAAACTGTTGGAAGTTCGATTTTGTTGTCAAACTCAACAAGTACTAATCAATCCAACATAAGACGAACTAATAATGCTCTTGATATATTGCTCCAAACTCTGCTCTCCATGCCTGATCATCATCGGGATAATGACTTGCATTGTTGTGCACCACATCAGAATCATCTCGATATAGTGGTTGCAGTGCAGATTCTGGTAATTTGCTCTCTGCAAGGTACTGCTTCATGGTAATCATCTCCATCTTGTGTTTTCTTTTGAGCTTATCCATTTGCCTTTTTAGCTTTTCATTATCTTGTTGCACTTTTGTAAAATTCTCCTGTATAAGAGATATAAAAATCAAGAAATGAATAAGAAATATCAGAAATGGATCACCGCATAATTGTTCTCTACAGGTCATATCCTTCCTATGCTTCTTCTTTGTATGCCTACTGATATTAGGTAGGTCAGAGAAATTAGCAGAATAACTTTCAGTTAAACCTTAAGGATATGATCATCCGCATGAAGGAGAAAAATATTCTAACGTTACGCTTTCCCTCCAACAAATTATAGTAAAACAACATAAGCTCAATTTTATATTGGTTACTGTTTCTTACGTCTTCCCTCATTATTTCTGTAATATTTCATGCAAGTCCCCCCCGCTTCTTTAAAAATGCACACCAAATTAGCATAAGATAAATGCACACCAAATTAGCAATCTCATAATCTGATGGATGCATAGACAAAAATGAAAAATTCTTGATGATGGGATTTTACCTCTCCAACAGACGCTGCATGCTCGGCTTCTCTGAGTCTAACAAGTAATTCTCCAGCTGCATGAACAGCTTCTGCAGTGTCTCTAAGTTGAATCTTGAGACTCATGTTCTCCTTTTTCAAGAATTTTGCTTCCCTTTCTCTCTCTACCCTCAATGCAGAAAGTTCAGCGGCAAGAGATTTGGCAAAGCGGGCATGACCCTTTTTTCCAGCCTTTGCTGCTGCCTTCTTCACCTCCGCTATGCCTTCCATTATGGCATTGTGCTTTGCAACCAAATCATTATATTTTTCTTGGAGGTCAGCATAGTGTTCTACCATTCTAGCATGTCCCAGAACCGCTCTTTTAACTGCATCGTCTAACTCTTCAGTACAGTTCTTCTCTATCTTCAGTTCCTGCTCCACCCTCTCTGCCCGTTGGCGGTTGGACTCGAGATCGACTCTTAGTTCATCAGTAAGACATATCCACTCACTTTCCATTTCGGTCCATCTCTCCCTTTCTTTCTCTAGCTCTTCCCCACCATTATCACGAGAAAATACACCACTTTTTCGGAGTTGAATGGATCTTGAAATTAATGAAGATCTCAGTTTGTCAGTAGACTTTTTAACTGGTGCGTCGCTATATAATTGCAGCTTGCTTCTTAGATTCTGAATTTCCTTAAGAAGTTCTTCCTTCTCAGTAGCATCAAAAGAGCTGTCTCTTTGAATTAATTCTTCTTGGACTTCTTTAATTTCACACTTTTCCTCTACAATACCTGGTAAATGACCATCTGAGGAAGTGTCCCTCAGAAACTGCAAAAAACATAAAAAGTAAATGATAAGGATGAGTTCCTAACATTTAAATGGACAGAACTTTATATTGAAAATTACAAAACCAGAAATAGACCTTGTCTTCATCTTTCAACGAGTTATACTCTTCTTCATGTCTAGTCTGCTTGTTGCTTTCTTGACAACACACAATGAGGGAGTTTAGTTCTTTTTCTCCTTTCAATTTCTCCACCTGGACAAATCCAAATACATTGTAAGTGTGATGTAAAAACAAAACCACAGACATAAATCATGAGGGTCAAGAATCCTTATTTACCAATTGATTTAGTTCCTCAATTCTAGCTGCTTGCTCCTTGCAAACATTCTCGAGCTCGTTTTCTCTCACGACCGCTTTTGCCATTGTATTTTCCAAATCCTTGAAGTAAAAAATAGATAAATGAGTTGAACAAGAAAATTAATTGACGAATTTTTTGGAAATTAAGTCAAGACATACTTTTGGAACCTTATCTGTCAGTGCACCGGGATTTCCTGCTTCAGCTGTGTCCATCCATGACTTTGAGCTATCTTGGACCTCACTGGAATCCTGATCGGATACTTTTTTACGGCAAGATTCGCAAAGCAAAGTAGCAATTCTTTCATCAATAAAATATTTCTTCTGTTGCATTGTTTGATCACAAGAATCACCCTTGTCTAATTCTGGACAAGTTGTTAAGGTTAAGCGCTCAAAAGAGAAGGATGCTGAAGATTTGTTTACTGCTGAATTCCGCTGGTGATAATCAATTATCTGCAACCCCCTCTGAAGGCTTGCTGCCAAGGACTCAGTTGGACCCGGAAAAACCTTGCGTGACCGTAACGAGGATTGTGCATGCTCGCCCTGTTTAAATGATTTTCCTAACAAATCTTGACTGGAACTCAAATTCTTCTCTCCCTCATTGTTCCAATTTCCAAGACAACTTGATGAAAAAGCCATACTTTTCCTCTGGTTGTTCTTGATTTTTGGAGACTCAGACAACTGTGGTTCCTCAAGTATTGGAGATTGACGGCATGAACTAACTGAAATGCTATCTCTGAACGTCGAGTTAATTGTCCTTGAGGTGTTAGCTGTGCATGAAAGGTCATCTGCTGATGCATACAAGGAGTCAGCTGATGCCACACTGTCCGCATTACAAAGCTTACTCAACGTTTCTCCAGAACATACTTCTTTTTCAATTTCATTACCACTTATCATATCTGCATCACAACTTTCCACAACAGAATAATACTGACCACAATCTTCACTGACAGATATGTCTTTAGGATTCCCTTCACATGAACTATACAATTCAATCTGCTGGCGTAATTGCCTTATGTCCTCCTCGTCCACATTTACCACTTCATCAGTATCGTTATCAATGTGAGGTAGGAGTAGAGAACGGTTTAAGCTGGCTCTCAACTGATTAAGGCTTTCCCGTACATTACGTACGTGGAAGTAACCATTTTTATTCCCTTCCGAGCTATGAACATCAGCCTTAGCTCTAATAAGTTCTTCCTGCAACAAAGAATTGTAATTCTCAGATCTGCATTAATCCTTTAAAAAACTATTTCCAGTAAAGTCCTGGAGATGAATAACACCTTCAGTTGCCGGATTTGATCACTCAAATCGTTAACGTCATCCTCCTTTATTTCATTAATAACAGGCTCATTTGTAATGGATCTTACTCGCTGTCCAAATCTGAGTGTGCGCAGTGTTTCACCATTATTCCTACAATCAACAAGGACAATCTTTACCCACAAGAAATAAAATATACAATGTTATGGTTACTAGGCCTACAGATGAATAAATAATGTCTTTTGGTCCAGGTAAATACTTGCTATCAGGGGAGATGGAACAGATTACTGAGAGTTTGGCATTTCCACCAAGTGATTCTTGTAGTAATCGTGTTAAACAAGAATTCCTGTTTGGAATTTCTTCTGCTTTTCCTGGGTGAGTTTCTTTAGTCAAAGCATCTACTAAACGCCTATACCAGTGAAATAAAATAGTGGTTACAAATAAGTAAAATAAAACCAAGATAATTTTACCCAAAAAAGTGAATAAATAACTGAAAAATCACCGACTTACTGTAGAAATATAGTTCGAATGTAGAAAATATTACATTCAACCAACGTAACTGAAAAACCACCTACTTAGGCTGTAGGAAATATAATTCAAATGTAATCTAGTCATTGCATGGCATCTTACCCAAGCTGAGATAAGGATTTCTTTACATTTCTGCTTTCCTTTATACATTGTCTGCCTGCATCATCAACTTTGTTCCTGTCCTGTCCAGCAAGATCAACAAGGCTAATTCTGCTAGTTTTTGAACTACTGAAACCATTTGATGAGATTCCCTGCAGCACCAGTTCATGAAAATGAAATGTAGCAATTAACTAATATAGAAAATTAACAATATAAACCTGTCTTCAATCTTAAAAGAAACATCAGTTTTCCACAGCCAGTCATGTTAAGTAGAAATATAATGGCAATACCTTACACCAAGACTCAATCACAAATGTGAAAATGATATGTGATCTAGAGCTCTTAGAATTTAAACTTGTTGCTCCAACTTTTCTGCTTGAGAGCCCCTGCAGCATATGAAGATCAAATCAACTTAGCTGATACAATAACAATAGCATGTAGACATCTAATTTTCAACAATATTTGCTTTGATGCTTCCCAAGTCCTGACCTTAATCAGAATTTGTGTCACATCATCATAGCTAGTGACGTATTCCTCGGTCAGATTCTCTATATACAATGCACTTCTGGAATCATCCCTCATCTGCGATAATTTGGACAAAGCCATTAATGCAGCAATGGAAAACAGCAGCAGTAGTAGTAGTAAATAATGTTTTTATGAGAAATTGTGCATCAAAGAATGGCTTATGCTTACTTCAAGGTTCCGCTGGGTTTGATCAAGTAAATCACCAATTTGTTCATTGTATATCTGCTTCAAACAACAAAGAGAAAAAGAAACAAGACCATCATCGCATGAGCAAGAAACAACCCCCCCCCCCCCCCCCCCCCCCCTTGCTACATTGGGAAGTTTAATAAGGAATTACCTCAAGAAAACTACATCGACATTGATAGTTGAACTGTTTCCCCTCAGACATTCGCTGCTCCTAATATAGTAATTTCAAACTCAAAATAGTCAAAACTCAAAACAAACATAATACAAAGTTCCTAGCAATAGCAGTTAAAGCAAGGAGCAAAACTTACTCTCTCAAGCTCAGAAAATAACATTTGGAAGATCCGAGGAACAATTCCCTTGTGACTTTGGGGCGAGGGATCCTCAAACATCGCACTTGGGGGACCCCACATTGTATAAGTCTTTCCACTTCCAGACTAGTAAAGAATTTAAAAAAAATCAAATACTCCATCAATAATGCTATAAATTTTTTTCACTAAAAGGTTAAAATAATACAGAAAACATCAATTAGTACCTGGCCATATGACAAAATTGAAGTGTTGTAACCAGCTAAAGCATTTCTGACCAAGGGGACACCCACTGACTGAAAAATATCTTCCTGAAAAAAAAAAAAAAAAAGCAATATAAAAATCACACTTATCTTCTCTTATGAGTATGAAGCAACAACATCGAAGCAAAGAAAGCGGACTACTAGTTGTTTCAATAAAGAAACTTGGGATACATCACCACAAAAGCTAGCTCAAAGGTTGGGAGTGCCCAAGGTCTTGTAAACTCCACATTAGTTGCTCATACAACCAATGTGGGACTATATATCTCAACACGCCCCCTCACACGAGAAATCCCACAAGAGAAAGTAGAGAAGGCGAGGTTTGAACCCGAGACACGAGGCTCTAATATCATGTAAAGAATTTTGGGATACACCACCCAAAAGCTAGCTCACCAAAAGCTATCTCAAAGGGTGAGAGAACCCAAGACCTTATAAACTTCACGTTAGTTGTTCACGTGTGTCAACATATCTCAACAGTTTCATTCTTAAAACAGGCCATCTAGTTAATAAGCAAGTTCCTTAATCCTATTAGGGAAAGTTACTGAAAGATAAAAATATAACTCACAAATAGCAGAGTGAAGTTCAAGTCTTTACCTGATTCGAGTTAGAGTCAAAAACTGAATCAAAAGTAAATTGCCTATCCCCAACGCACAATGTATCAGACGAAACCTTCTTAACGGTTCGATCTCCCTCTATTCCATTGTTATTGGTAGGTCTGATTCGTACTACAACCTGTTTCAAAACCATATTATGAGCAAATTACAGGTAACAGCTTCAATGTTCAAAAATTAAACTGCCCCCAAAAAAAGAAGCTTAGAATTTGTACTTGCCTTCACTGATGGATCCGATTCAAGAGGTGTCTTCGGTTGGGTGAGGTCGTTAGGGAAAATTGGGGTTTTGGAGTGTGATTGGTTGGATTGGTCATGGTTGATCTGGATGTTGGGGTCGATTGGGGGAGTGTTTTCGGCATCTGATTTTGGGATTTTAGGGTTTGAAGTAGATTTGCGTTTGGAAGAGATTGATCTGGGAAGAAGGTTTCTGATAGATGAAGAGGAAATGGTGCCCAAGAAACCAGCCTCGGCAGTTTCTGTGTTACTGTTTTGCCTCATGGACATGTTTTTGCTGAGCAAACAAACAATCAATCTAGCAATGGAGCTATACACACAGAGAGAAAGAGAGAGAGAGAGAGAGAGAGAGCTTAGGATTCAAATGTGGATAGTGAGTTAAGGGGGATGTAGAGGCATGTTTTTGAGTTAAGGGGGATGATAACGAAGATGACCGTTGCAAAAGAAGAATGTGAGTCAAATGACTATATTATCCTTCGCTTTTTTTCAAAGAAAAAATGATTGTTTCAAAAATAAAAGGAAAACATTTTTTTTTTTGGTACAAAAAAAGGAAAACATTATTTATATATGGGTTTGATGTTTCTTTTCTTAAATAATATAAGTTATGTTATTATAGAAGAGATATAGACAAAAAAAAATAAAAATCATGGGAGGAAAGTGAGTATTTTTTTAATTTAAATTTTAAATAAAAAAAATATTATTTTATATCTATCTTTTTCTTAAAATGACATAATTTTATATAATTTAAAATGATAAGCACTTTTTCTTTTATATATATACATGGGAATAAATATTTTTATCTTAAACAATTCACATATCTTACTATATAATCTGAGTGTGGATATTCTTACTATAAGAAAAATTACTACTAACCCACTACCTTCATAATCACCATTAAATCAATATTTTCTCTTTTTTCAAATACTTTTTAGCATTTTCTTTCTTTGATCCAATGGTAATTGTGGAGGTAGTGGGTTGGTAGTGAATATTTTTGGTAGTAAGAATATCCACCCTCGTATAATCTAGTTGGGATTTTTTTACTTTTATAAAGCACTTGTTTCTTGTCTCTCACGTCACTAAAAAATGAAGAAAAAAATATAAGTTCCATGTTAAGTCGGTACTCTATTTTATTTATTATTTATTTACATTTTTAATGTTCACTCTTTATATATTTTTTTTATGTTCACTTCTTAAATAATTTTTTTAACCTAATTGTAAAATATCTTTTTAATACCTTTAGTGTACTGGTAAAGTCAAAAAGTTATGAACCCCTAAAATAATTGAAAGATGTTGAATGAAAATACTCTTCAAGTTGTATAAAAAAAAAAGTCAAAAAGTTGTAAAGTGTTGATAATAAACCAGAGAATAAAACTCTTTTTTGGTTCTAAATAAGTAATGCGATGACATTAAAGATTCAAATATAGAGATTTCTCTGCAAAACTACCTAAAATCATTATTACTTACCACTTCTGAAAACTTATTAGAAAACAAAACGCAATACTAGCGAAAGATATTAATCAGCAAATATGAGTTTGGTGTTTGTCATTTAAAATGACATAAGTTATGTCATTTTAGGAGAGAGATAGACACAGAAAAACAGAAATCACGGGAGAGAGAAAGTGGGTGATTTTTTTAATTTGAAATTCAAATTTTCTGTGTCTGTATCTCTCTTAAAATGACTTAACTTTCTGTCATTTAAAATGACAAACACTCTTTCCCATCAAGTATATGTTAAAAATATATTGCTTAAAAAAGAATGAGAGAGAAACATAAAGAAATAACATAAAAGTGTGATCCATAGACCATGGAACATGTGGCTGGGGACAAATTAGTCCATGTCCTCTACTACATTCAAATAACTAGCCGTTGAGGCCGGTTGGCCGCTGCTGTTACAAATAAACTTTGCTTACAGTTTTAGTTTTTTTATTTTTATTGCAACTAATTAATATTTTCATACTTCATGCATTTACTTTGCATTGATTTTTTTTTTTTTATATTTTATACATGATATATGGAAAGTGTTGCTCCATTATTTCGAATAATGAATCTAGCTGGTAGAGTTTAATCGTAAATGTAAGTACGTAACATTATTTTAGAATAATTTGAATTTGTCAAAATTCAAATGTAATTACTGAATAAGTAAAAATGATGGATATTACTTGATTATCTAAGAATCAATATTAATTTCAACTCGTTTTGCAAAAATAAAATTAACTGTTATTTTCCTTACTTTTTCTGAAACTTCGTTGAATTTATACGCGGTGAAATGGGCAGGGCCTTTTAGGGTGAACCGAAGAATGTCCTTATATTGGGCTTCAAAATTCAATTGTCAAGTTAGTACATTCCAACATGACAAAACCCAAAATGAAGACCAGATGGGAGAAAACATCAAGACAAGTTGGAAACAAGTTACAAATTATAAAAACAATAATAGTGCTCATATAATACACGTGATAATGTATGGGTGGAGCCAGAATTTATTTTTTTATAGATCAAAGATTAATAAGTTTTAAATGTTTTACAAGTTCTTATTTTTATCAAAAAAAAATTGCATAAGTTGGTAACAATATCTAAGTTATTCATTTATGGATATTATCTAAGTTGGTAACAATATCATCCTCAACCCTACTTCCCTCTAACCTTAAAGCATGTTTTTTTCTTAATTCAAATTTGACATTTAGTGAAGAACAGTGACCATTTTGTCACTGTTCACAATATTATTCAGAATGTCACACGTACAGTAAAAATTCCCAGAATGCCAAGCAGGCTAATTCGCTCCACAGTGTAGCGAATTACGTGTGCTGGTGTGGCACGTTTCTGTTGGTCACGTAATTCGTTATAGGGGCCAGCGAATTACGTGGTCAAATGTCAGTCCATGTCTGGTCAATGGCAAGACATGTGTCACCACCTACATAATTCGCTATACTGTGCAGCAAATTATGTACAACGCTCACCTACAACACTAATGTGCATGTGTGTCACTTGTCAAGTATGCACAAATTTGCTACACAGGGTAGCGAATTCTGAGCCTATTTAAACCCCACCTTCCCCCACCCTCTACTCTTACTCTCTCCATCACTCCCTCTCTCTCAAAGTTATATTCTCTCTTTAAAAGTTAGGTTGAATTTATTTAATTTTTATTTATTAACAATTTTTTTAATTTATTATTTATGCATTATTAATTTTAGAATATTATTTAGGGTTGAGATTTGAAACCTTAGGATAGAAAATTTGTTAATTTATTAAAGGCATAAATGGATAGTTGTAATTTATTTAATTGTTATGTATTAAATTTTTTAAATTACTTATTTACGCATTCTTAGTTTTTGAATATTATTTAGGGTTGAGAATTGAAACCTTAGGCTAGAAAATTTGTTAATTTATTTAAGGCATAAATGATTAGTTGTAATTTATTTAATTGTTATGTATTAATTTTTTTAATGTATTATTTATGCATTCTTAGTTTTTGAATATTATTTAGGGCTGAGAATTGAAACCTTAGGTTAGTAAATTTGTTAATTTATGTAAGGCATAAGATAGAAAAAAATGTACTTTATATTTCTAATTTTATTAATATTTACATTAGGTATTGACACCATAGGTTAGATGCTATTTAATACTTTTACTTTATAATGTAGGATATAGGCAAAGTGGGAATGTTATTATATTAGTTAAATATCTACATTTAATTGAGGATAATAATTAAAAATGTAGGTTAGGTAATTAGTTATTATTTATTGAAAATAATAATATGAAATTATATTGTGTAGTGTAAAACGTCTTGAAAATAATACTTAGGATAGGATTATAATATTGGGACATAATGAATAATATTAAAAAAATTTAAGAATGTGTTAGGATAAAATAATTGCTATTTTATTTTAGGTTAGGTGATAAATTATTATATATTGAAACAAATGTTGTTATATATTTTAGGTTAGGTTAGGTAATGTTGTATTTTAATTTAGGTTACGAAACCGTAGGTTAGAAAATATTTCGGGTGAATTATGTAATATATTTAAATTTAAAATACAAGTTATTACGATATTTTTTATTTTAATATTATTTTTATTGTTAATATATGTTATTGTGACTATATAAGTGATTAAATTAATTTTAAATTATCCCTAATATCATTTAATTATTCTTTTAAATATTTTCTCCCACTATAATAAACAATGCTGACTAAAACATTCCTACTGTCACTCATTGTGAAAGAGTAGAAAAAAAAAATAACATTCAAAGATGATACACCTTGATACAGCTGTATATATAAACGGAAACTTCGTAGTCGGTGGTGGAGGCACCTGAAATGAAAATGTTGGAATATATAGTACTTAATTCGCTAGAAAGAATAGCAAATTACACAATATAATCTGATGTGCCCCTTAGCGAATTACTGGGGGAAGACACATGTCTGTTCTTTGTCAGAACTGCACCTAATTTGCTATGAGTCACAGCGAATTCAGTTGCATAATTCACTATTTGGTATAGCGAATTATGCAGGGTGTTGACACGTGTCCTGACACAGACTGGACAAGGACTGACATTTGAACACGTAATTCGCTGGCCCCTGTAGCGAATTACGTGCCAACAGAAACGTGCCACATCAGCACACATAATTCGCTGCACAGTGTAGCAAATTATGAAGGTGGTGACACGTGTCCTGGCACTGACTAGACAGGGACTGACATTTGACCATGTAATTCGCTGACCCTTGTAGCGAATTACGGCGCCAATAAAAACGTGTCACATCAGCACACGTAATTCGCTGTACTACAGAGCGAATTCGCCTGTGTGGCATTCTGGAAATTTTTACTGTTTGCGTGACATTCTGATAAATAATATTGTAAACAGTGGCAAAATGGTCACTGTTCCCATTTAGTGATGTCCTTAAACTAGGGGCATGTTTGGTGCATAGTATAGGATAAAGCTTGATAGTATAAGACCTGATAGTATAAATTATATAAGACCTGATTAAATTTTAATACTATCCAGCGTTTGGTATGTTATTGTATAAGATAATATCCTTTAAAATACTATCCAGCGTTTGGTATGGTATTGTATAAGATAATATCTTCCAATATTTAAAAAAATAATATATTAATTTTTTTATTTTAAGATATTAATATTGAAATGATATATTAGTTCTTGAGAATTGTATTTGTAAGCAATACTAATACACCAACCCCTTATCAGGCTTAATTTCATCCTCTTTAGGCTTGATTAAGTTATACATTATTTTGATGTATTAAGGGGTTCTG